ATTGAAATAAAATTCCTTATAGAAATTGTGCTATAATATCATCTGTAATTTTAAAAAAGCAGCACAATTTGTATTTAAACAAAACTTTCAAATTCGTTTTTAAATATTTTAGTATTTTTTACTTATTTACACCAATAAAAAGTATAAAATTGCTTGTTTGAAATTTTCTATTAGTCAGATTAAAATATTATTTTCTAAAAGAAGTAGTTACAAATTTCCTTACAGCATAGGAAAAGCTAAAAAAATATCCAGCCCTGAAAGCATGCAATAGCTAATAGAATGTGATCAAGGTGACAGCCGGGAACGCGTCAGACGAGTGAGAAAACCCAAATGGGTTGGTATATTTCTTATAAGGTCCATGCTAGAAGTAGTCTGACGTTATGTTTCATTTGCTCTGAGTTCGCCTGTTCAAAATTAGCAATGTGGAAATCCGAAATTAATTTTAATCGCACATGTAGTTTTCTAGTAAAAGAGTGTCTAGCTGGGTGGCCTTCAAAGTAGTATTATAAAGTAAGTAAAGTTATGCTGCCTGCATATTAATGGTTTGGAGCAGAGCTTAAATTGCGCCGGAGCCTACCGGAATCCTCCTCAGGTACTTCTTAGTTTTTGCGATAAATCATAATTCTAGTCGAAGCGCATCGGAGCCCTAGATAAGAAGGCTCCAGCACTTCTTTTATGTAACTAAACAAGAATTTTAGTCGAAATTTGATTTGGAAAATTTTATTTTAAGTAATAAAATTTTATTAGAATCGAATAAATTTCAGTAAAGTAAAATTATATTAATTATATAAAATTTAATTATCTTTTATTTTAAAATTTTAATACCTAATTGTTCACAATGAATTATTTTATTATTACTTATTTAATTGTATTTAACGGTTTTATTATTTAATTTATTTTTAAAGTATTATTAGTCATTTTATTTAAAAGATTTTATTAGTCATTTTATTTATTTATTTATTCTCGCTCCTCTTTCCTGACGGTCTTCCTTAGAGCTCTGGCACTTCTAATTTTAGAAATTAAGCCCTGGTTTGGAATCCAGTATTACGTTATATTCATTACCAAAAATGAACGTAATTCTTCGGAAAATCTAGGAAAATTAATTTAAACTATAATGTAACTCTTATTCAAATATTTTAAGATACAAATTTGATTAACTTTTATTAGAATTTCGTAAAAGATAAATATTTTATTTTACAAATTTTTGTAATAAAAGTACTCGCTCTGTTTTTGATTACATTTACATAAGAACACTCCTCCCCCCCAATAGTTGAAAACTAATGAGTACGAAAAGAACCAGACTGCCGACGAGTGTCTACAATTTATAATGATACTTTTTAGTAATTTCCTTCCAAGAACTTCATGAAAATCGAAACATTTGGCAGTTTAGCTAAAGGCGTAGTAAAAAGCAAAGATGTTTACAATAATTTACATACAAATATTATTTTTTCTGTTTTGCGTCATAGAAAAATCTAATAAATAAAAGAAAGAGAATAAATTGTCATTATTTATATTCAAGGTTTTGCCCGTCTTCTGTAGCTTTTTGTCATTATTTTTACTCAAGTTTTGCCTGTCTTCGGTAGCTTTCGTATATTTCCTTTTAGTTTAAATTAAAAGTAAGTTACTTAGTACTTCAGTATATTACAATTAATTGAATAAATGCCAATCTGAAAATATTTAGCTGTCTGTTTAAGTTCCAAATTGTGACAAACATAAATTTCTTGCAGATACACATTTTTCGATTTTAAGCAAAATATAAGTATAAATTTGATATTTTTCTTTGCGTTATTTTTATTCGTATATTTTTAATTTCATTGACAAATTTGGTAAACAAAATCTCCCGTCTTTTTTGTATTTGCTGCCCGTCAGCTACTTTCAAATTGTGCATTGGCCCGCGTGCAACGTAAGTTTGAGACCACTGTTATAATGTATGAGTTATGTAATAAGTCTTCTTACGTTGTAGCAAAGTGTCATATAATTTATGGAAACGAGAAAGATAATGATATTGTATTTCATATTTTTCCAAACGACAGTTTGCTTTTGGCGAAAAAAATCGATACATGTGTCGAAGACAGGATTTTATTTATGTGAAAAACGTAAGAATTTGTAGTAAACATTTTCGATGTAGTGATTGTGAAGGGGACATGGAAAATCGCTTGCTTGGATTGCAAAAGAAACTCTTAAAATCCAGTACTCTGCCAAGAAAAGAAAAATAATGCAGAGGGTTTTTGAAATACTATACGAATTAAATTTGAAGAAAACTCATTTTGAGGCCGATTACGTAGGAATAATAAATCAGGTATGAATGATTTTAAAGTAGAACTCACAAATGACGATGTAAATATTGCTGAATGCCCTAACTGTAAAAATAAACGAGAATGCATCGATAATTTGTAAAAAACAAATTCGTATAAAAAAGATCTTCCTCATTTGCCCTTTTGTGAAAAGTTAAGTTTTCTTTAGATACTGGGAGCAAAGTTGTTTTGTCAAACTTAAGACAACGAGCTTGTATTTATTTAAATGTATGTGTATAAATGTGAGTATAACTTAGATATTTTTTTTTAAATATCTATTATTATATTGAATTGGAAAAGAAACACGCCAATATAAAATTTGTAATTAGGTCAAAAAAAGCAATCTTAGAGTAGATTAAATTTTGAATAAAACTATTGATTTCAATGGCAATCAAGCATAAGTTCCAATTCTTTAGCTGCAGAAAAAAATTGATTGAATGTAAAAATACGTCAAACTGAAGTTTTTTTTTTTTTTTTGCTTAACTCTAAATATATCTTATTATAGTTACCTTAGAAAGCGTGACAGAATTCTTCCACTTGGTATGCAGATGAAGAAAGATAATGAATGCCGCATTTTTAAATTCATGATTTATACAACTTTTAAGAAAACTAGCGTATTTTATTTGTTAATTAATAAATAACGTTATAAATGCTTATAGTAATGATATCTTCTCTTCTAAATTAAAGCTCTTTTTTCACGCACAGTTTTTTAGTTCAAAGGGGCTTTATCTCTGAAGGATTATTGTTTTCCTTTTGCGCTGAATCACTATAAATCTCCGTTTCACTTTTCAAACTGTTGCCACTAAATGATAGAGTCCTCCATTATATTTGAAGAAATTAAATAGTGAAAAATCTGCATAAATGTTATGTCTATTTCTCGCATTGTGATAAAAACCGTACGAATACGTAATCCTCCTACGAATATGGGCATGTGGAAAACCAAATTTGAAATTTTGAATTTGTATTATGATCGATTTGTAAAACTTTAACGAATTTTTTTATTAACAAACTCAAGGATTTCAAAGCGAGCAATGGCAACACTCTACGGCGGGGGGAAAAAACACCTTTTTATCTCCAGCGCGCAGAACTGTGTATCGGAAATTCTAAACATACGCTCATTTTAAAATTATTTTGCGACATTGCTATTGAACTGAATTTTATGGTTTAAGTGCAAAGAACATGATATTTAATAAATAAAGGTAATACACAAAACGTTAAAAAAAAGCCCCTGTGGACGTCATTTAAAATTTGAAACTTTTCAGATTTTTTTTAGCTCGAGTTTTTTCAAATTTAAAACCTTTATTTATTTTCTGCGAATTGTGTCTTTGCAGTCAGTATCAACATGACTACGTCATCACTCCTTACTTCCTGTTTCAATGCGAAAAGCTTTATGTGTTGTGTGATGTAGCCGTTCCTCAATAGACACTAATGCCGGCTAGCTTTAAAAGGATTTATTAACAGAGCACACAGGAACGGTTACAAACAAAAGAAATATATATAAAAATGAAACATAAACGAAATGGAACATCAAACATTGAGAATAACGTAACATAGTAGTAAGCTATCATCATGGCGGCTGGAGGTTCGACTGACGTTTTTTTTCATATCGCCACGAGATGGCGTTTAAATAAAATAGTTCGGTTACAGTTCATGAGTTCATGGCGTGAATAAAATAGTTCAATTACACTTAAATAGGTCTGTTACATCAGTTCGGTTACAGTTCATGAGTTCATGGCGTGAATAAAATAGTTCAATTACACTTAAATAGGTCTGTTACAGTTGTAAATATATTTTGTAGTAAACACTTTTACAACAAATTACCAAAGTAGAGAGTAGAATAATTTCTCTTACCTTGTATCGAGTGCAGCGTCAGCATGATCATTGCTTAATCCAAAAAGAGGTTGTAGACTAAAATTGCAAGGTTAATAAACACATTTATTTATACGTAATAGTAGATTAAAATTCATCAATTTTCCAAATACATATCAAAAGATAGTTACATAAGAGAGACTGTCCTTTCCTTAAGAAGTGAGGAAAGAATGTAAAGAAGAAAAAGCGAGTCGCACAATTAACTCCTTTGCAGGGTTTCTTTTGCAGAGGATAACATTGTTTATGAAGGTCACCAATTTGCATACCAACACTCCTACTTGCATACCAACACCCCAATATATTTTCCGAGATTTTTTGTTTCTTCCACTCAGTAGATTGACGGCGCATGCTATATCTGGTCTGCTGATTGTTGCAATATGTAATAATGGCACTACTGCTTATCTTTATTCCGTATTATCCTCTAGAAGATCATCTTCAGTTTCTACTTTGCAGTTTCTAGTTGCAGCGATTCACGAACACAGGCTTTCCTAGCGGTTTAGTGAGCAGATCTGCAATGATGTCGGAGCTTCTGCAATAGTCCAGGCTCAGGATCTCGTTTTGTTAAGTTCACCCAAGTAGTCTATATGTTTTCTTCTGGAGTTATTTTTCCCTGTTTGTGAAAGTTTGATGCTTCACTTGTTATCTTCATAGAGAGCAATCAGTAGATTTTGTCTCGTTTTAGATCTTTAAGTAAATTTAACAACCATTGTGCTTCTTGTGCTGTATTAGCTGCTGCAATATATTCTGCTTCAGTTGAAGATAATGTAGTGCAGTTTTGCCTTTTCCTGCTCCATGAAACGCAGTTATTTCCTAGTTTGAATAAGTATATGCTAATGTATTTTCTAGTTGTTCTGTTATTTGCCAAAGCTGCATTGGAATATGCAGTTAGTATAGGTTCTTGAACTTTTTTAAAAACCAACTTCAAATCTTTAGTTGTATTTAAGTATCGAATGACAGCATTCCAATCTATTTTCCGAGTTTTTTCGTTTCTTCCACTCAGTAGATTGACGGCGCATGCTATACATGGTCTGCTAATTGTTGCAATATGTAATAATGCCCCTACTGCTTGTCTATATTCCGTATTATCCTCTAGAAGATCATCTGCAGTTTCTACTTTGCAGTAGTTTGGTTTCATTGGCGTATATGTTGGTTTTTCATCTTGAAGTCCGAATTTTTGAACAATTTCTTCGATTTTGTTCTTTTGGTTTATGGCAAAGGTTCCATCTTTAGATCTTTCGATGTTTATGCTGAGGTAGTAGGTGACTTCTCCTAGGTCTCTGATTTCCAGTTTAGCTTTTAGTGATGGTGAGCATTATGAAATGTTACTCTAAAGTTATAAAGTTTAAAAAAAAAAAAAAAAAAAAAAAAAAAAAAAAAAAAAAACCGTATATTATAATTTAAGATAAAAAGCTTTTTTAACACTTTCTGATGTGCTTTACTTTTTAAAATGCTTGAGAAACAATTCTGGTATGCATAGTATTTAATTTTTAAATGATCAAATTGCTCGCTGAAACATTATAAAATGACTTCCTTAAAACTATGTAATGACCTTTTATTAGTGTATATGGGACAAAAATGTTTTTATTTTTAATTCTGTGTGATATGAATATTACACTAGCTAAAAAAATTATATTTTACTTCTGGTGCACTTTTAAAACTGAGTAAAGTACATTTTGTACATTTTATTTGCTCTTTTTAGAAGAAAGAATGCAGAAACATAATAAAAAATTCACTGCTTCTAAACGCTATGAAATTAATTTTTCTAATCTACAATAAAAGTGCATTTAATTTATTTAAATTTTCATTTGATTTAGAAATCCAGTTTCTTCATGAATTGAAATCATGAGGCTGCTAACGACGAAAAATTACATATGTTTGCTGTAAAAAACATTATTGCTATCAACTGCATTCTAATTAAAAAAAATCGATTGATTTTTGAAAAATCTCAAGGGTCGATACATTGTTTTAGACATTTCATAAAACCTTGTTTTGAAAAGCAAATCAGTCAACTTCCAATTAATTAGAGTAATGTTAGGGATGAATATCACAGTTAACTCAAAATCGGGATTAATGTGAAGGTAATTAAATACGTAGGAAATATGAATAACCCGGATAAAAATGAAAAGATTTGAAGCACGTTTTCAAGCTTTGTAATATAGCGAATAAAATCATTAAATTATCGAAAAATTACGACTTTATAAGAAGTTATATTGTAATAGAACGGTTACGTAACGTTATAATTATAAAAGCCTTTGTAATAAGTACTTTTATTTTATACAGATGCTTAAATCACTATTCAGAACAAAAAAAGAATGCACTGTAAAATATTAAAAGAATAAACATTATTAGAAACGAATGTAAAGAACAGTACTTGCTTGAACAATATTACTAAATTCAAACTTAAAAATGTCCGGTGCGATTTTTTAAAGTTTTATTATAGTTATTTTTGTATCATGTAAGAGTAAATTACATACTTTTTTGAGGATAAAAATAACTTACTATGACGTGATCTGCTATCACTGCTGCTATCTCACTCAGTTTTATTGTATTTTTTGCATTTTACATAGGCAATTCTTTTTTTACGCTGATGGTTTTGGGCAGTAATTTCCTCATCGCCTTATAATGAACAAGATTAATTTTTTTTTTCAGACAGAGCTCGTAAATTCAGAACACGATTTATCCATTTCTGACTAATCGAAAGTTGACTGTATATCGAATTTTGAAAAAAATCCCATAGAATATTCTATTGTTATTGCAAATATTTCTGCAGGAAAAACGTCAAACATTGAATCAGTCGAAGATGAAAAATTTATTTCAAAGTTGAATCTCGAAAGTAATAAAATAGAGAAAGCAACTTATATGAAACGGTATAAAAATGCTATGGTAAAACATTAATTTTAAGATTAGATCCAAACATGGAATGAACAAATCTTAATTTCAAGATTGGACCCAAGCCATCAAATAGAGAACACAAGTTAAATAAAACCCGATAAAAGTGCTTGATGGAAAATCAGTTTCAAGATTGGACGTAAATAAGCAAAATAGAGAAAGCAAGTTAGCTGTGTAAAAATTCTATATCATTCGGTATCCTGATATTGATGTAACAAAAAGGATATGTTAAATTTAAGTATTCAGCATTATTTAACTTTTCGTGACATATAACTAATGATAAATTTTCTGTGCTGGTTTTATATAAGAGACCACAATACCGTTTCAAAAATTGGCTATTACATTTTTAAGTATCAATATTTTACTATGAATTTTTAACTGAATTTTCTGAAATATGTCATGTAAAAGTATGCGGAAAATTTTGAATGCTTTCTTTTATTAGATTTAATGATAATTTCTTGCTGTGAGGTGAAAGAACGAGAAAATCAATTTGTTCTTAATACAAATACACTGCTGGCCATTAAAATTGCAACACCAGAAAGGAATGATCTACGAACGTCAAAATTACGTGAAAGAAAGAAGAGGTTGGATATGCAAATGATTAGTGTTTCAGCGCATTTAGATGACGCAGGAGGGCGACATCTGAAGCACTGCATAAAAAGAAAAGTTATGTAGTGGATTTCTCATTAGGAAAGCGCTTTATAAGGTAGGAGTTAGCTCAGAATATCGTGTTATGCCTTAAATAATAAGAAGAAAGGCTTACCAGCAAATGTCGGAATTCGATAGAGGCAGGATCGTTGCCGATCGAGAGTGTGGATTATCGTTCCGTCGCTCTGTTCGACATCCAACCATTGTTATGCGAATATGGAATCAATGGGTTGCTGAGGGTCATACTGAATGGCATGATGGATATCAGCGCCCTCCCATGACTAACGCCAGAGAGGACAGACATACTGTGAGGTGAGCCCTGCAGAAGCGTAAAACCACATCATGGACCATTAGTCAGGAAATGAGCATGTTCGCAGCACGCCCAGTATCTGCTCGTATGGTGCCTCGACGTTTCCAGCAGCGTGGACCATCAGCACGGCGACCATTACTTCGGCTTCCCTTGACAATGCAGCTGGTGCCGAACGACAAAGCTCCGATAAATAATTTATTGTGTTAAAAAAACCGCTTTATCTCTTTGAGATAAAGTGGTGGTCCTGACGCAATGAGCATTTGTTGGATCAGTCATACAGTGGTTACAAGATCACATAAACATACTTGAGATTTGGCTGCAAAAATGGAAAATCCTTGTTAATGTAGACAAGACGCGTGCCATTTTGTTTACCAAGAAAAAGAAAATTAATAAAAACTTGCATTTCTATGGAGCATCTATCCCCTGGGCTAAGAAGGTCCTTCATTCTCGGGGGTGATCCTCAGTAATTCTCTTACATGGATCCCACACATAACATCTCTCTTACAGAAGTTTCGAAGCTCGTAAAGCAACACTATTCCCCTTAATTGCTCGAAACAGCTTTCTATCTATAGACAACAAGTTACTCATTTACAAATCCGTATTGCGTCCCATGCTCTGTCATGCCTGCCCAATATGGGCATATTCTTGCAAATCGGATAGAAAGAGGCTCCACATGTTGTGCGTCGTGTTCTGACCTTTCTCGATACACAGGGTATTCGATTGCTGCCCGAGCCTGCACGATCTTCAGATCTGTCCCCACTGAAAACATTTAGTTGTGGGTTGCTGAGAGGCTGGCCCACCACCCTCTCCAGCTAATATCGTTGATGAAGTGTGGCATAGACTTGAAGCAGCATGGAATGAGTTGCCCTTTCTGCCATGTGCAGTTTGACTACATGCCTAACCGGGTAAGGGCCGTTTTATCTGTCAGGGGTGGCAGCAGTTTCTACTAATTTCGTATCCCTGTTATTTTGTAAACCCCCAAAATGTTTAAAAATTTAATCATTTTGTCTCCATGCCATACTATTTACGTACAATAAATATCTTTTTTTGTATTTGCTTTCCTTTGCAATTTTAATGGCCAGCGGTGTATATTTTAAAAATAATTTCTAATAATTAAAATTATTTACATACTGAATTTTATAAAATACATAAAAATAAACACATGCAAATATTTGAAATTCCTATTTTTACAAAACAAATTTTTTATTTTTGAAAGAGAAATGTCATTAAAAAGTGAACACACAGAAAAAATTATTTTAAAGTTTTCATTTGTTACAAAACATAATTTAACAGTTGATAGAGTCATTAGGTTACTTTGACTACTGCTACATCGGACCTCCGGACTGTTAGCAGGATGTGCTATCCAGTTAAACTACGTTAGTACGCGAAAAAGGACGGAGAACATACTTTATAAAGTTATCACTTACAAATTCCACGCAGCATTTTATCAAATAGATAATGAAAGTATGTCTAAAATATTTTAAAAGAAAAATTATTTTAAAAGAAAATTTAAAAACCTAGGCTGGTAAGTAAGATATTTTTAAACAATTTTCGTTTGTGTTAAATACTACTTACTGATTACACGCCTCTTGGATAAATATTGTATTATTGCTAACATGAATCATCATTTCATTTCATTCGTTCTTTTCAGCAGCAGGAAATAAACTGTTGTAAAACTCTCTCTAAGACGACCACTCATGGTTCAAGATGATTATGACCTTCTGAGAAGTCTTTAATGTCAATGCCAATGTTTATTTCTGTTCTCAGGAAAACTGGCTACTTTATGAAATGGGCTTTCAGATGGTCGCGACTAGGGTATTTGCTGTTTGATATTTCGTCAGCTTGCAACATGAGCAAAAGCAGTTATTTTAAGTGACTATTTTTTAATTTCTGTCTTTGGAAGAACTTAATATCTTCTAAACTACTGAAGGTACAGCTTTAAATTTTTCTTCAAAATTTGAAAAGGTCACAATAACTTAAGCCAGTAAGAAATTATATTATTGACTACTTTTGTGTACTGTGTATATCTCTGTCTTTCTGTTTGTTCAGATTACTGCAAGTTATTCAGAATTAGTGCAACCAGAAGCAAGTTATTCATTTTTCGAAATTTTGACACATTGATACTAAAATGCTCATTATCACTGGCTTAAGTTTGTCACCTGTCATTTCCACTTGCCACAAATTTGACATAAATATTTTAGCAACTAGTAAACAATTTCTCATTCGCCTCCGCTGGGGCGCGAATTGCGTTTATCATCACTGCGCAGGCGCAAGTCGAAGTCAGAAGT